AACTTCTAATTGGAAGCTGGGGGAGGTTTAACAGTTTCATAGGTTAAAGAAAATCTCAGTCTGATTCTAGATCTGGCTCTTAGCTTCTTTTGGTAACATTCTTTCTACTAAAACCTCTTTTGTATTTTCACCCTACATGCACCTTTTCACCTGCACCGTCAGCTGGAGGTGACTTGTGGGTTGTTCCCCAAGAGGATGTCCAGAATCCTACCCGATGGCCTCACAGACCTTCTTGGTTTGGTTTTTACTCCCAGCTGTCTTCACTTGCTCAGAGTTCCGGTTCTGGGACCCCCTGCTTTTCTCAGTTTTATTGAACAGGAGACGCCTGGTAATAAAAGCACCACACACCCTCTCCTGGTACGATTTAGTCCCCTCTCACCCTGAGCTCCCCTGAGCTTGCTGACTTCCCTGGGGAGAGGAGGGAGTACTTTAAAATCCCCCTCCACCTTTTTTATTACAAAGAGTTTTGAATGTTGAAACATTACATAATAACATGAGCATGGCTCTCACCAGCATGGCCTCTCTGTCACCCTCCCTGGCACAGGGTAAGGCCAACATCCACTGTGACTGCTGAGTTGAGTGGCACAAACTGTTAAATATCATGATTTCCACCCAGCACACATGTGCTGTATAAAGCAGAGTAATAAATACCAAAAAAAAAAAAAAACTTTCAAAAGCATTTTTATTTTTATTTTGTTTTGAGATAGAGTCTCACTCTCTAGCCCTAAGTAGAGAGCCATCATCATAGCTCACAGCAACCTCAAACTCTTGAGCTTAAGCAGTCCTCTGCCTCAGCCTCCCAAGTAGCTGGGACCACAGGCACCCAACACAACACCCAGCTAGTTTTTCTATTTTTAGTAGAGACAGAGTCTTACTCTTGCTCAGGCTGGTCTTGTGAGCACAAGGGTTCCACCTGCCTCGCCCTCCCCTCCCCCAATTGCAAGGATTACAGACCTGAGCCACTGTGCCCAGCCTCAAAAGCATTTTTAATAGGTAAAACATTTGTACCATTAAACATTCAAAGCAGAAAAAGGAAACTGGTGAAAAGTCATTCACCTGTGCTTTCAGCCACCCTGGCCCAAGAGCTGTGAGCCTGGATCCTCTCCAATATTTATGTAGAGATGAAAAGTTATAAATACATATTGTTTTTCCTTTTTTCAAAGATAGTAGCATAGATATACTGTGTTCTGTTCCTTTTCTTTCTTTTCTTTTCTTTTTTTTTGCAGTTTTTGGCTGGGGCCGGGTTTGAACCCGCCATCTCCGGTATATGGGGCCGGGGCCCTACTCCTTTGAGCCACAGGTGCCACCCTCTGTTCCTTTTCTTTTTAACTTAACCTGCATCTTGGAGATCCCTCCACTTTGGTGCACAGAGAGCTTTTTAAGTCTCTGATGGAACGCTGGGTTGTCCGGCATGGTGTGTCTGCGCCATAATTTACTTAATCTTCTGCAGATGACCTGGGAGATTATTTACATTATTATTATAACAGCCGACTATTATAATCAATACCTGTGTACACACTGCACAAATACGCTGGTGCATCTGTGAGATAAACTCTTAGAGGTGGAATTGCTGAGTTGAAGGGCCGTAGTATGATAACAGTGTTTCCCAGGTATGCAGATAGATCCATGAGATAAATTGCTACAAGGAGCATGGTGGGGTCGGAAGCAGGTCAGGCTGTAACCTCTAGCGAGAGTGAAAAACACAGCTCAGTCGTGGTGTCTCGGCAATGTGAAAGTGCCTTTTGACCTAGAAGGAAAGTGGCTCAACTTTCAGTTTTCAGCTTGGCAGCTGAAGGTGCTGTCTCACGGAGCTTTATTTTACGTTTCTCCCATTGCCGATGTGCCAGAGCATCTTTTTCTATATTTAAGAGCCATTTGTATTTACTTTTCTGTGAACTGCCTGTTTATAGCTTGTTCTTGTTTTCCCATGGAATTTGGTGCCTTTTCGTTGATTTTCAAGAGCTTTTGACAGAGAGAAGTTTGCCCTAGGTGATATGAGATGCCATTTATTTCCATCTGGTCCTTTGCCTTTAGCTTACATTGGGTTTTGCCATGCAGAAAGGTTTTTGTTTTCATGTGGGCTAGATGACCTTCATTAACCTCAGTTACCCTGCACACTGGACCCAGGTCTGTGCTGATGGACCGGGCAATTGGTCTCACTGACAAGTGCGACAGTCTGTTTAAAGGCTTCACAGAGCAGGGGGGGGTGGTGTATCATAAGTCTTTTAGACTTTGAGGGCAATCAGGTCTCTGCTGCCACCTCTGCTACTACAGTGTGACGCCTGACAGCACCATTGACAGCACTTAAATGAATGAGTGAGGCTGCGTTCCAGAAACACTTTGTTTACAAAAATAAGTGGTGGGGCCAGGTGCGGTGGCTCACACCTGCAAACCTAGCACTCTGGGAGCCCAACACGGGTAGATCACTTGAGCTCACCAGTTTGAGACCAGTCTGAGCAAGAGCAAGACCCTGACTCTAAAAAACTTGCTGGGTGCTGTAGCAGGCACCTGTAGTCCCAGCTACGTGGGAGGCTGAGGCAAGAGAGTCACTTGAGCTCAAGAGTCTGAGGTTGCTGTGAGCTATGACACCACAGAACTCTACCCAGGGTGACAGAGTGAGACTCTGACTCACACAAAAAAAAATTTTACAAAACTCAATGGCGGGCTGAATGGATGGGCCCCTGGGCCATGGTTTGCTGACCCCTATTGTAGAGGCAGTGAGAGGCCTTCCTCCTCCAGCCTGTGACTGCCATTATATCTGGTCTCCCCTTAGTCTACAGTTTGGTGGCAGAAAGACGGCTTCACTCAGCGCCTGGTCTGGGCTCAGGCCTTTTCGCCTGCTGATGTGCCGGCCACCAAGCAGGGACTTACCCAGAGTTTCCTGAACGCACAGACCCCTCCGCCCTGCAGCTGTGGGCGGTCCTTTGCCTTTTATGTTCTGCAGCTGCCTTGGCGACCCCAGCCTCTACCCCATGACCCATGTGGCACAAACACACGCATGAATTATGGGGTCCTGGACACATCCTTGCAGCCACCGGGACCACAGAACCTGCTGCATTCCCCTCCAGAACAGGCCACCCTGAGCCCCTCTCCCTGACCAAACCAGGTCCTGCTCATCTCTCCTGTGCAAAAGAAAACCTAACAATGGAGTAAATTAACAGGGAGAATAGTTGTTTTTTTTTTTAAGTCATCCAGTTATTCCAGGTGCCTCAAGAAAAGTCTTTGCTTGTACCTTTAGCTGCAGTAGTGCTTCTAGCACTGGCCAGGATCTCATCCCAAGCAAAGATGGACCAACTGCATTGGCTTCAAGGCTCCTGGCGGAGCGAAACATTAGCAGGCTCCTCACCTTTTAGGAGCTGAGGATGCGTTAGGGGTTTCTGCATACGTGTAGAACCTCGATCTGCAGAACTGGTGCCAAATGATGTCATACTGACTGTTAGGGAAACTTGCAAAGAGTGTCCCTGGGATCCTTAGCATTTCACGTTGGGCGTAAGATCAGCAGTAGCAATCTGAGTCATTTTTGTCTGGGGGGGGGAAGTCAACTTGTCTTTTTTTTTACAAGTTGTGTTGTTGTATGGTGTCCCCCCCCACCACCGAACAGAAATGGTCGAAGTTTTAGTTTTACTCTCTATTTGTTTGTTGTTGCAGTTTGGCTGAGGCTGGGTTTAAACCCACCATCCTGGGTATATGAGTCCGGCACCCTACCCAGTGAGCCACAGGCATGGCCCTCCCTCCTTTTCTTCTTAGGCCAAAACCCACTGATGGGTGTATTAACCTATAAAACACATTTCCACAAAGCAGAGCTCATGCACCATCTCCAGGTTTTTGGCGGAAGTTTGGAGTCTGCGTCTAGTCCCAGCTATCACAAAAAGAGACCCACCTGGGGCAATTCGTCTTGCTTCTGGTTTCTTCTGGAAAAGTGAGAATCACCTGATAAGCCGGCTGCACATGTAGAAATAAACTACATCGAACTCAGTTAAATGAGAAGCCAGACTCTAACCTGTGGTTGAGGAAGCTTCCAACCATCCGCCCGTTTGTTCCTGTGGCCAGTGTGTCCCGAGCACCTGCCATCTCCACACACTGTGCCAGGCTCAGGGTGTCCCAAACACTGCCCATAAAGTGGCCATACATAGGGACAATTGGAAACTGTAGCTAAATCTTCCTCTGTTTACAAAATACTCCTTACAAAATTTTACAAAGAGGTGGCCAGCGCATACAGAATAATTTGTAAATATTTTGTAAAATTTTGTAAGAAATCCACTTAGCTACACTTCCCATTTCCCTTATATGTGGTGATTTGAGGGGTGTTGTCTGGGACACCCTGTGGTGTCAGCAAGACAAACTTGGCCCCTACTTTTATATGGCTCAGAGCGCAGCCGTGAGACACATGTTAGTTACCTAATCTCAACATCTTAGCTACTAACTGCGGAAGAGGCCGCACATGGAGAGCAGAGTCCTGGGCCCTGGTCTCCTAGGGGAGGATGTTGCATTGACCTTGCGGGTGGCTTGTGCATGGGGAGAGGGTGGGCAGCACAGGGGGTAGTGTGGAGGAGTCTGAGCCTGGCAGGAAGCTGGAGGGGCTGGCAGGGCCTTAAGATATCTTAAAAATTTCCGTTTTTATTGTAAGAGCAGGGGGCAGGAAGAGTGACGCAGTCAAAGTTGCATTTCTAGAGATGGTGCTGGCTCAAATAGATGGAAGGCCTGTAGGGTGAGCATGCAAGTGGCCACGTCTAGAGGCTGTTGCTGTCCAGCCAGAGACAGAGGCTTGGTCCAGAGCGGAGAGGGACTGAGGGCACAGGTTTCACCGCCATCTCTAGTTGTGCTGGCCGGCACCACGGGCGAGGCTGCCTGAGCACAGCACTTGGGCCTTAAGCTAAGAGGCCCCTAGGATGTGCCGGCCCCAGCCCCAGGGTTACTGACCACTGCCTGCACGTCCCCGAAGAACACCTCTTCACCGCAGCAGTCTTTTCATCCTCCCACCCTTTCCCGCCCCTTTGCAGGCATGACCTGTCCTGCGCCCATATCGGTGGAACACGCAGACATCCGTGTCAAGAGCTATGCCGTGCACTCCAGGGAGCGATACGTCTGTAACACTGGCTTCAAGAGGAAAGCCGGCACGTCCAGCTTGACCGAATGCGTGTTCAACAACGCAACAAACACCACCCACTGGACAACTCCCAACCTTAAGTGTATCAGTAAGTAGCCGGCTCCACACTGGGGCTGCACGGACAGCAGAGAGGGTGTCAGAGGGCCTAAACAACACCTTTTGGCCTTGGTACACAAGGGTTAGTGTCACGCGATCCTGGGCTCGAATCCTGGCTCTGCCACCTACATCCATAAGGCTTTAGGCAAGGCCCTCAACCTCTTGGAACTTGAGTTGGTCATCTAGAAAATGGTCCTGATGCCCACAGCAGATAAGCAAAACCCGGTCACTACATGTATTAACTGTTATTACCATCAATGCTTACTTTTGATATGATGATGACAAGGCAGCCTGCACAACATAGTGACACCCCAGCCCCATAAAAATAAAATAATCAGCCAGGCGTGGTGGTGCACACTTGTAGTCCGAGTCACTTGTGAGGCTGAAGCAGAAGGATCCTTGACCCGGGAGCTCAAGGCTATAGTGAGTTCTGGTGACGCCATTGTACTCCAGCCTAGGTGACAGAGTGAGACCCTGTCTCAAAAAAAAAAAAAAAGAAAAGAAAAGTGATAGTAGCAAGAGAATTCGGCCAGGACCAGGGCATGTGCTCCCGGGCGTACCTGCATCCCAGAGAGCCTTCCAGACTCTGCACCAGGAGGCAGGTGCGGGACCCGTGCGGAGCCACCAATGCTCAAGAGGAAGGACGAGGGAAGGTCAAGAATCCACGTCTTAGTTTAACCTCCCCAAGCAGATGGCACCCCAGAAGAAGCCGGACATGGCCAGGCTGGGACCGTGCAGGGCTGTCTCCAGGAAGACTCAAGCCCTCTCCTACACCTCTCTTCCTTCTCAGATTATCCCGCTGCCTTCTGAGATTCCCGAGAGCTCCCACCTACCAGTCTGTGTGCTTCCCTGTGGGAGCTGCTGCACCACTGCGGCACCCTCTGGCTCACTCTGGCCCACTCAGGCCCACTCAGGCCCACTCTGGCCCACTC